TCACAGTCGCGGGGTCCTGCTGGACAAGGCCGCCGTGCTTCACTATGTTCGCATCCAGGCCCGAAATGGCCAGTGGGTGAGTTGCGAGTGTTGCTTCACAGTCGTCCACGATGTCCTGGTCGCTTGCACCAGTATCTACCAACGAGGTGAAAGGAGTGAAAGTGGGTTACGCCTCCGTCTCCCATGTCCTCCATCATTGCTAACCACCGTACTAGGGCGAGCCATCGAGGCACCCCAGATCCGTCGAATCTTCTCGTCCTCTCCTCGGGACCCTCGCTACCACATGCTCGAGCACTTGTCACCCAAGTTCAGGATGCCCCCGGTGGAGCGCGAGCCGCGCGCCGCTCTCATTCTCAACAGGTTCACTCGGACCTTGACTGTCATGTTCGCTACGAACGCAGTAGCCTCCATCCTTGGTGTCCGGCCGGACCAGATCAAAGACAAGAGCTTCTATGAATGCATTCAGGAGAACTGCCTTCCCGATGCCATCCGTTGCCTGGAAAGTGCCAAGGCCAACGACTCCATTGCCTACCTTCGATTTTGGTACAGAGACCCGCGTCGACCGGAGGATTTTGAGGATGAAGATGATGACGAGGAGCATAACAGTGGGAACTCCAGCGATTCTGAGGGTGGAGGCGTGCAGCTTGATGGCCGCATGGACGTTGACGACGAACCTGCCATCAAGCAAGAAGATACTGGTCGGCCCGACTTGTCAACCCACAGCTCTGCACAGACGGCAACCACGACGGCTTCCGGTTCGAGCAGCCGGACACAGCAGACCTCTGCAACGACCGCCCCGCCACTCGACGGGCCGGCACCTCGGAGGTCACCGCCTGCCGAGTCTCTGAGAAACCGGCGGCGTGAACCAATCCCAACATTCGAGCTCGAGGCCGTCGTGTCCTGCACGTCTGACGGGCTGGTTGTCGTGCTACGGAAAGCCCGCCCACCTATTCCGGCACCTCACCCACCCTTGGTCACGCCTACATACACAAACGGTCTTTTCGCCGCGCCATGGGGGCATCATCCGATTCGGCCCCAAGGTCCCCAAGATATGCTTTACGCATTCAGGCCTCCTCTCATGCCACAGTACATGCCTCTGCGCGACAACGTCATGGCCATCGGCGGTCCTCCGGTGGATCATCTCATGAGCTCCATCCGAGACGTTGCCGTCTTCGCCTGGGCTCTCGTTGGTATCAACGGCAGTCTTGCTACTTACACCCGTGGTTTACCTCGTGGCGAGGCACAGCCTGATGGACTTCCGGTGTGGGATCCGAGTGCTGGCAATATGTCCTACCTTGGACCGGAAAACCAGGCGGTTCATCGCTGGGCACAATACGACGAGAAACACAAGAGTGGTTTCGGATCATCGTCCTCCGGATACCAACAGCCACAGACGCAAGAAACGTCGTCGAGTTATACTCATGCTCCCCAAATTGGCAGGAGCAACTACACATACTCCCAGCCTCCCCCGACATGGCCTGGGCTCCAGCCTGCGTACACATCTGCGTATGATCAGTATGGCAGACCTAATCACAATCACCCCCCACATCATCCACAGCAGCATAGTGAGCACCAGCATTACCAACAGCAAGGGCAACACCAACAGCCTCCGGGCTCTCGAGCTGCATTACAAGACCAGTCCTGGGGTGAGACCCCACCACCGTACAATGGTGGCGGACACTCGAATGGAGACTCAAATGGGCACTCCAACAACGTTCCCACCACATCGGCTGGCCCAAACGATTCATCCCATGGCTATCGCTACCCCTGGCAGTAGACGGGCTACTTATTGGCACATCGGCGTTGGGAGCTGTGATTTGAGGTTGTGACTTGCGATCAGTCATAATCATTAACGACATAAATTGGTTTATAAAAATTATCGAAGATTGTAACAGCAAAGGTTTAGGACGGATTGTTTGCAATTTGACAGCACATGTGGCGAGGACGGATTATGGCACCCCCGCATTTTACTAGAAATGCCGGCAGAGTGATAGACAGATACCCACGAGATGAAGAAGGCGGAGTCGATTTTCAAATAATTGAGATGCTCGCGGGACATTAGCGAACACTCGTCAGCTTGGAAAGCTGTGTGTACAAATAAGTTACGCGATAACTTGGAGCCGTGTAGCATGGTTACCATTCGCAGGCACCGAAAACTAGCGGAGGTCTTGTGTGTACATGGCACCCATTGCCACTAAATCATCATCTCCAGTGTGACAACTAAGTCGTCTGTGTGTGAAGCCGGTGCTGATCGGCGTTTCCGGGCGGAGACCCACAGTGAAAGTCGGAACACTGTGAATATCGGCGGCGGCTGGGACGGGGAAGTGGGTCAACCAAAGGCACAGCTATGCGCTTGTGATTGGTGAAGAGAGATGGTCGGGGAGCGGGTCTGTATATTCCGACGCAAGGGACGGGGTCCGGGGAGCTTGGACCACTCGCTAGGCCTTTGAGGAAACCGTGGAGTCTTTTGAGAGTCGCTAGCTGCTACGTACGTCAGCTGGCCGACTTTCCCATCCCGTCCCATCTCTACTTCACGAAGCTGCAATTGACCCTTTCTTCGCCGAGGCCGACGCTCGAAGAAACTAATTGCAGCGTTTGACATAAAGCGCATTCCTATCCACGCGCAACACCGCTACCTTGCTCCTCTAGTCACTGCAGTCAACAATGGCATCCACAGCCAGGCGAGACGACTATGCCAACCCTCCCTTGGCCGACGACGACCTGATCGATCCAGATGATGGTAAGCATTCATACCGCTTCTGATGCTGTGTTTAGCTCAGGCTGACCGTTGTTTTGGACAGCCGATCTTGATGACTTTGACGATCCCCTCGGCCACACGTCCTCCCGTCAGCCACTGACTGGTAACATCGGTTCCAGCTCTTCGTCGTCGCGACCTCTAAACGAGAATGCCTGGACCTCGCGGATACCTGGCGAAGACCGCGCCGCACCTCAAAACACAATCGATGAGTCGGTGTGGGACACCCTTCGTCGAGATCTCCTAGCCGTGTGGGCGAAAATGCGGGAGGTCCTCTACCCCAAGTATCTCCTTGGGGGTACCATGTTCGATGCCGATGGCCTCCGGGGCGCGTACGCGAACATTCGCGGAGCTGGCTTCGCTGGCGCTCGTGAAGAGATTACCGGGCTGGCAAACCGATTCATGGATTCGGAAGCTCTTCTGTCGGGCAACAATATGACGCCTGGTCTGCGTGACTGGGATCTCTGGGGACCCCTCATATTTTGCCTGTTGCTGAGTCTTCTTCTGAGCTTCAATGCGCGAGCAGACCAGAAGGACGTTGTCTTTAGCGGCGTGTTTGCCATGATTTGGATCGGAGAGGCCGTGGTCACGTTGCAGATCAAGCTTCTGGGAGGAAGCATGTGAGTCGTCCCCTGGTAGCCTCTGGCAACCAGAAAATCTGTTTCCCAGCTGCGCTAACATGCAACTGCAGTTCATTTGCGCAGAGCGTCTGCATTATAGGATACACGCTGTTTCCCCTGGTCATTGCGGCGTTGCTCTCGGCGTTCGGTATTCCGACAGTCGCTCGTGTTCCCGTCTATCTCTTCTTGGTGGCGTGGTCGTTGGCTGCAGGAGTGAGTATTCTAGGTGGCAGCGGCGTCGTCAAGAACCGCGTCGGTATCGCGGTGTACCCGCTCTTTGTCTTCTATCTCGGCTTAGGCTGCCTTTGCTTCATCAGTTAAAGTGCAGGAGCCCCAGCAAACCACGGTCATCGCTCAGGAGGCCCCTCGCATCGACGACGAAAAGGACCGGGGCGTAGGTTGTATTCTTAGATATCCACGGTGTTGTATGAGTTAGCTTCGAGTTGTGGCCGTAGGCCAATGGGTGAGAATTCAGGAAGTGTCCTTGTTGTTACTCGCAAACCTAAGCCTGTCTTGTGGACAAACTATGAGAGAAAATTTCTCTTTGAGTGTGAAACCTCGATTCAGGTTGTCTATGGCGCCATGTCGCCGTTCTGATGAGATATTCGACGCAGAGATACTGTCTGCTGGTGGCTTTATATTAGAGCCTTCCGTGCCAGAGGCGCTGGGAGCGGCGCCGCCGCATGCGGCCACGGCATTTTCCGCCGACAGGCCGGGCATCGTGTTGCCCGTTTGGGAGTGCCATATCCCGGATCTTGCAGTGAAGCATCGAGGTCTGGTCAGCGCAAAATTAGCGAGCAATGTGTGAGGGTGGCGGCTGAGGCCGGGGGGGGGGGGGGGGGGGGGTGTGCTAGGGTGTTTTGGTGCGCCTCGCTATCCAACTCGGCACTGTACGAATTTACCCCTCTCAAGTCACCCTCGAGGTTGATATGAACACACTGGACTTGACTGAGCTGGACTTAACCATAACCAGGCCAGGGACGCTAATGCGGGCCGCCATCGATCCAATTGAACTGGGCTCTGTCGTCGACTTATCCGAACCGGGTGCGCCGAATGATTGGGCCGATTGTCGTCTGCTCCAGGTCGGCCCCATCCAATTATTCCCAGCCAAGCTGATCCTCCAGAGACACGGGCAAACAGCGGACACTGCACCTCAGCTCACAGCTCACCTATGCCTTACGGAACCTACCTTACGGTACCTTACTGGCACTGCACCGTACTGTTGTCACCGCATCCGCATCCACAACCACATCCACACCCGCACACCTGCAACAACCGCACCGTAAACTCATCCACCGCCCAAGGCCATACCTGCGCAATCGCCGACAAAACGTGCAACTTCGACTTCTTGACCTGCAACCACTCGTCTTGAACCCTTGTTGTAGATAACCCTTGCGGTGGCTGAGACTCATTGTTTTGCTTGCACCTACGTATTCGTTGGCACCGTCACCTGCCACTCCATCGCTTGTCAACCACTGTCGCTTTTGGCTTTAGCATCCAAAGTCGGCAGAAACCGACACCGACCCCAAAACCTCCTCTAAACCACCCACGACAGCGGAACAACCACGAACGACAACGACCAGCACACCGATTGACTACGAGGCTGTATCAAGCATTTATTCAACATGGCCGACGACCCTCAGAGCGGTAGCCCAAAGTCGGATCCCATCGATGCCAAGGAGGATGCTGAGACCGCTGCTGCTCGCAAAGAGTTGAAGCATACGGCCATTTCAGAGAAGTCTGAGGGAGCCACCGGCGCGACGACACCCCAACTCAGTGCAGGCGATGAGCAAAAGGAGCAAGACCCGTCACCCAAGAAGAAACAGAAGAGGGCCCACGACCAGCTAGACGAGGAGGACAGAGACGCTGAGGAGGCGGACAGCAAGAGCGTAGCGTCAAGCGATTCTGCCAAGGACAGGGCTTCGCGACTGGAACCCGAGAAGAAGAGGCACAGAGATGGAGTGACTGTTGACGATGACGCCGCCGACTCTTCTGTACGTTTCCTCCCCCAAATTTTCTACGTGCCGGTATGTTTGCCGTTGCTCTATCGTGCTGACCTGCCTTTGCCGCCAAACAGGTAACATCGCCCGTCACCGCCGAAACGAAAACGCCGAACATCATTTCCACCACGACCGAGGCCACGTCCGCAGCAGCAGAAAACTCTGCCAAGGAGGAGAAGCAGGGGACATCGGCTGCCGCTTTTGCCAGTTCTGGCTTCGCCAAGCTGGCCGCATCAAGTGCGTCCCCCTTTGGCTCTTTGGGAGACTCTACAAAAGGCAGCGTTTTTGGCGGATCAACGTCCTCAGCATCGCCATTTGGCTCCCTGTCGCCGTCCAAGCCCGCTGCGGCTCCTATTGCCGCACCGACATTGAGTTTTGGAGGCGCTGGCGCCGCCTCATCGCCGTTCGCCAGCGTTAAGACCGCCGGCGCAAACGGTTTTGGTTCGGCATTTGGCAGTGGCTTCGGCAGCGCACTGTCAGGCAAACCCTTGACGAGCTTTGCCAAGGTAGGAGAGTCTTCCTTCAAAAGCGAGAAGCCTGCCAAACCTTTTGGCGCACCGGAAAGCGACGTGGAGGACGGAAGCGGCGATGACGCTGACGGCGATGATGGATCTGCTTCAGAGTCTGGTGACAAGGAGGAAAAGGAGGAGTCTGACAAGGAAGAATCCAAGGCTGGTGATGATAAGAAGCGCACCAAGCTGCAGAAGAGTGAGCGGCACGTATCTCGCTTGGCTTTTTACTTTGCTAACCGTCCACAGTTACTGTCGATGATGGCGAGGCCGGTGAGGCTACGATAATTCAGGTCAGAGCCAAGATGTTCTATCTGGAGAAGGAGGTTGGCTGGAAGGAGCGTGGCTCCGGTATGCTGAAGATCAACGTCCCTGAAGCTTGCGTTTCGTTTGATGACTCAGGCCTTCCCATTCCCGGTTCTTTTGATGCATCGGGCCTGGAGAACGACGAGGATCCAGAGGCTGGCGTCGGAACGGCCCATAAGGTTGCCCGTCTGATCATGAGACAAGATCAGACACACAGGATACTACTCAACACAGTCATCTTGCCTGCTATGAAGTTCCAGGAGAAGACGTCTCTCAAGTCCGTTGGAGTCATGTTCACCGCATTCGAGGGTGAAGAGGCGAAGCCCGTCAGCGTTCACATGAGGGTAAGGATATCTCCGACACTCGATACCGAATCAAGTACTGACATACCAATCGCAGATGAGTGCAGCCAGCGCCAAATCGTTCCTCAATGAGGTTGGCATGGTTCAAAGAGAATTGTCGAGCAACTGAGCATCATATTTCTCAGCTGTGGATAAGTTAATGGCCATAGACCGAGCTGGTGACTATGTGGACTTGCTCGATGATTCCCATCGAGCGCACAAGACCTTCCAAATGGTCGACTGGTGGCGGAAGTATTCCTGGGGTTATTGGGGGCCAGGCGGGGAAGGCAGAGACATACAGTCAGCGGCACGGCAATTATTTTTGTAGGAGTACTCTGACTATCCGGATTCGGGACGCTGTCCTGTCATGATACCAGGAAACCAGTGTCCTTTGGTACACTTTAGATATCAATCAACCGCAGTAACAAAACTATTCGGGGATTGCCCTTAATTATTACTCTATTCTTACGAAGCAAAAGAAAGAATTCTTTGCTCAAAAGCATGAGCCGACGCGGTGGGAGCTCGGCTCACGTGACTAGGTGTGGATTACGTGACGCAGACGACTCTTTCATCTTCCACGCCAGGGGCGTCTCGCGTTCCCTCAGGTCCTGCTGACTCTTTTGCAGAACATGGTGCAGAAACATGTGATTTCTGTACTTTGAGTCTGATGCAAATCGGACACATAGTTTACCGCCAGCATCTACACCTACTTCCTCATGCTAGCCGATAGCTAGCCGCGCAGAGGCCGCTTTGGTCTCCTCCAAGTCAGTAGCCATGCAAGGCGGGACAGAGGCAGTCGTGCAAAAGGCCCGAGGAAAGCGGAAGAGAAAGAACAATCAAGGAGCGATTGCCGACAGCGGAAACGGAGAAGATTCTTCGGCAGGCGGCCAGCTCGGCAATGACGATACCTCGGACAGTCAGAAAAGTACCACTGCCCGGAAACGGACCGCGCCGAAGAAGACTGCCTCCGCTCTAAATCGGACGGAGAGCGCCGCATCTTCGGTAACATGCAAGGTTGACTGGCCAGACTCCTTCAAAGCACTGGAGAAGACGCATCGCGCTCTCAACTTAGTGTTTACTTTCTGTTGTACGCGCAAGCACCTTGCCACGACCTTTGAGACGATCAGATCTGCAGTCGAATCGCACACCAAAAAAGTATTAACAATCGAGGATGTCGCATCTATCGCAGCTGTGCGGCCAGAAGGCGTCAACTTTGCCTACGTTGACGAGATCATGTTGCAAACCGAGGTCAGAGGGGCGGAGCGCGACGTGACATTCAAGGCGGGACGGGACTTTCGCTCTCAAGCACCTGCTCCCGATGCTTCTGTTGGCGGAATATCTGGCCTTGAGAAGCTAGACCTACACCCCGACGAGCGCGTCGAAGGGGGAAAAGAAGTGCTGTACTTCGAATTCGTGGATGGTGACCTGAAGCGACAAGTCAAGGACAAGAAGACGGGCGAAATCACCAAGCCAAACAGGAAATTGAGGGAAGAGACCCTGAAAATACCCGTTTACAGCCAGAAGCAGATGACGAATCTCATCGAGAGAAGGAATCAGAAGTTCATTGACGCAATGAACGTATTCATCAACCAATGTATCTCGGACAATCTCGACCCCGAGCAGGCTCTGTCCAAGGCAGCAGAGGCCTTTATACCAGTGCCGACCGCCCCGGAGGATCCGCCCGAAAAGAGTCTTGGAGCGTTGCCCGAATCGATACCTACGGAACGGAAGAGCATTCCTGAAATCGTACAGGAGCTGAAAGACAGCCCGTGGTACACAGGACAGATTGTACCTGATGGTCACCGCGTGTTTGAGCCTCAGGAGGCTGTCTATGGAGATCTCAACTTTCTCCTCAGTCAGGATTTGGTCAATGCCTTGTACAATGCTAAAGGGATCACACAATTCTTCGCCCACCAAGCGGAAGCGATCAACGGTCTGTTGGGGGGCCAGCACGTAGTTGTTGCCACTTCCACGAGCTCAGGAAAGTCTCTCATCTACCAGCTTCCGGTTATACACGCTCTAGAAAAGGACTACCACACACGAGCAATGTACATCTTCCCAACAAAAGCGTTAGCCCAGGATCAGAAGAGGAGCCTAAGGGAGATGCTGAGCTATATGCCAGGGATGGAAGATGTGCTTGTGGAAACTTTCGATGGAGATACGCCCATGAAAGAACGAAATGCGATCCGAGACGAAGCAAGGATCATCTTCACCAACCCAGACATGCTGCACATAACGATTTTGCCACAGGAAGAGAGATGGAGAACGTTCTTGAAGAACCTGAAATACGTCGTCGTCGATGAGTTGCACTATTATAACGGACAGATGGGATCTCATGTGTCTTTCATCATGAGAAGGCTGCGACGAATTTGTGCCGCGGTGGGAAACCGCCACGTCAAGTTCATTTCATGTTCGGCGACCGTCGCCAACCCCAAGCAGCACTTCAAAACAATATTCGGTATTGAGAATGTGAGGCTGGTCGACTTCGACGGTTCTCCATCGGGCAAGTCCCCATCGCCTGAACCTTTGAACAACTAATGTGACTAACGTTACTAGGTCGAAAGGAGTTTTTGTGCTGGAACACTCCATACCGAGACCCAGGCGATCCAGCTAGTGGACGAGGCGATGCAATGTTCGAATGTGCGCGCCTCTTTTGTCAGCTGATGCTGAGAGGCGTACGAATCATCGCCTTCACCAGGGTAAGAGAGCAGTGCGAGAAGCTAGTAACAGCTGTGCAGCAAGAATTAGAATCTATCGGGCGGCCGGAGTGTGTCAATAGGGTCATGGGCTACAGGGGAGGCTATACGGCCCAGGATAGACGCAGGATCGAGTCGGAGATGTTTGAGGGAAAGCTGCTTGGAATCGTTGCCACTACAGCTCTGGAGCTCGGTATCGATATTGGCACACTAGACTGCGTGTTGACATGGGGCTTCCCGTACACAATAGCCAACCTACGACAGCAGAGTGGACGAGCCGGACGAAGAAACAAAGACTCGCTCTCCGTCCTAGTGGGAGATTGCTTCCCCACTGACCAGCACTACATGCAGAATCCCGACGAACTCTTTACCAAGCCCAATTGCGAGCTGCAGGTTGACCTTGAAAACATGCTGGTACGAGAGGGCCACATCCAATGTGCTGCTTACGAGATGCCTGTAAGGCCTGTGGAGGATGCCGAATACTTTGGTCAAGATCTTCCCCAAATCTGCGAAGAACGTTTGCTCAGGGACGCCATGGGCTTCTACCATTGCCACGATCGGTTCCGGCCCATTCCGTCGAGGTTTGTTGCCATCCGCGACACGGAAGACGATCATTTCGCCATTATCGACATTACTCATGGCAAGAACGAAGTCTTGGAGGAACTGGAGGCTTCAAGGGCCACGTTCACGATCTACGACGGCGCCATCTTCCTGCATCAGGGAAGCAAGTACCTCGTCCGGGATTTTCAGCCAGACAAGATGATGGCACGAGTGGAAAGGGTCAAGGTTGAGTGGACCACGACGCAACGAGACTTCACCGACATAGACCCCATCGAGACAGAAGCGATCCGGCGAATATCCGGATCTTTGTCGAAGGCTTTTTATGGCACGATCAAGATCCAGCAGAATGTATACGGATTCTTCAAGGTCGACAAGAAGAAACGTGTTCTGGACGCTGTTCATGTGGACAACCCTCCCGTCATTCGATATGGGAAGGGGATGTGGTTGGACATACCGAAAAAGGCGCTGCAGATCCTGGCCGACAGACGACTACACATTGCCGCGTCCATTCACGCGGCAGAGCATGCCATTTTGAGTCTCATGCCCAACTTTGTGATTAGTCTGCCCGGCGACGTGCGGACCGAGTGCAAGGTGGCGCTCAAGGAGTTCGCCAAGAAGGAGTCGCAGAGGAAGCGGCCAGGTCGACTGACGTTCTACGACGCAAAGGGCGGTGCCAGCGGCTCGGGGATCAGCACCAAGGCTTTCGAACACATTGACCACCTTCTGCAGCAAGCACTTAAACGAGTCGAGGAATGTTACTGCGAGAGTGGCTGTATTGAGTGCGTGGCCTCGGAGCTGTGCAAGGAGAACGATGTCATGAGCAAGGCGGGCAGCCAGGTCATTCTGAAAGCCATCTTGAACATGGAGATTGATGTAGAGGCTCTGCCAATGGGCCCCGAGGAGCAGTGTCCGGCGGGGTTAGAGACAGTGATTGTGGCCCAGCCTGTGCCACCCAAAGACCGGAATAACTTGAGGCTTATTGACATCAAGGAGGAAGAGTTCGAGGACCAGGACACGGTGCTTTTAGAGGACGCAGAGGTCTGGACTGGCGACGAGTGAGTTCGTCGAAGACTGGGGATGATTCCATAGTTTCCAATCTCACACACATCCGCTTGCCAGTCCTTTGCGGATAAACAAGCAGCAAACATGTGGATTGTCTGGTGAAGAGTGGACGAAAAAAGCTTTTGCCAAGGGTGCCTGGATGGGATGGTCTGGTTCCCTCTGGGAAATCGGAGTGGAGATTTTTTTTTAGCTGATGCCCGGTGCAGTGTCGCAGCCTCTGGGCACTGGGCGCTCATGGCATATCCACATGGCCGGTTCTTGGTGGCTGCTTGGGCGAAGCTTGGTTTCTTCCGGGACAGTGCTAGCTCTGGTGTTAATTCTCGGAACGTCCAACGTTATAGGCTGGGTCCCTGGCTGTAGCGGTTTCTCATCCCGTTCTCCGTGTTGGTGCCCGTGTCTGGCTGCCTCCCTCAGAACGTTCATGTTTTGCTGCTCGTTTTGCACTCGCGGACTGAGGCGTGGATCTGGGATGATGTCTGTAGCACCTCGTCGCAATCAGGCTGCATTGATTCATCCCGCCCGCCGCGCCCGCCGCGTCCATCGCATGACTTTGCCCAGATGCCAGAAGCCTCGGCACCCGCGGGGCGTGCTATGTGTGTGCGAGCAGCACGCGTTGTGTGGCTGCTGTCAGATTGCAATGGCAAAAAGTACGACTTGTCAGAATGGGTTATCATCGGCCGCCAAGACAGTTGTTTTGGTTTGATGTGGCTAGACATTGGAGGACGTTGAGATTGGGGTCGGCGAGGTGAAGAGGACGACCTCATCATCGGCCAGCTCAAAAGGTCGCATTTGGGAGGAAATGTCCCGTCCCGCAGGGGTACAGCACAGCGCCCAGTGACGTCGTTTAGGCTTGGCGGCTTATCTGCACCACCTTACCGCAAGGGCCTTGAGACCCTTTACCGCCCTATTGAATGGATCTTCTCGCTTGCTGCTGTGTTGTTTACATGGTCCAGACCCAAGGCTTTCCGTCCAGACTGCAACGATGAATGGAGGAGACACACACAACAGTGCAGAACAGGCGTGGCTAGCGTGGTTTTCTTTCCCGCCCGCTCTCTCGGTGCACAAACCAAGAAAGCCTTTTCCTGCGGCGCTTCACACTCGCCTCAGAAAGGTATCTTGTACCCGCGGTTTCACGGTAATTGCAGCGAGGCGGTCGACGTCCTGGGTGTACCCATACACGCCCAACTCTCCCGAGCAATGCACAAGGGTTCTGTTAGAGAGTCTTGGCATGACAGCAAGCTTGGCTGTGCCTTGATTCAGACCCCAGGGCGACCTCTCGTTTTCGTTGCTCTCTGCTCTGTTGATGTATGTCGACCGCGATGCCTGCATCATACATAGGATGTGCCTTTCCGTGTTAAAAGTATCCGGGGGAACCCCTCCGTCGTCTGCCCTTGCCAACCTGCTGCGAGGCCGAACTTGTCACGAACTCTCTCTTCTCCGACTTACCAGAACAAACCTCGGATCGACGGAAGATTTTCTGTTTACTTTGCGGGCTCAATCGTTCCAGATCTCCCGCGTGAGAACTGTCATCCTCTCCTCACCGACTGCCCTTGGGAAGCTGATGTTGAAACACCCTCGTCCGAAATCCCCAACCACAGGCCCAGACCAGCCACAAGCACCACGACCAGGGGCCCGAAATCCAAGGGACTGGACCACGTTGATCCTGAGATTCTCTCAGCTCCCCATTTTCTTAATATCCTTCCATGCTCCTCCCTTTCTTCGTCCACTGAGCCACATTCTACAAAGTCTTGGTATTGGGGCTGTTCCACATCGTATATGTCCCTGACCCCAGTAACACCACTCTGCATCGGCTTGGCGATATCCATACCGACCACCGTATATACTCTGTAGAATCGGTCATCGAATCTGTATATTCCTGCCGGCGTCTGGGTCGGCGACGTTTTGTCACCAGTTGTCTAGACACGCCCATCAGTCATCATGTCTACACCGAGGTCACCGAGGTCACCATACCGCCAAACCTACCGCGAGTCGGTCTCGAGACGCCGAGAGTCAAATAACCTCGTCATCCCCGAAAAGGCACGAACGTCTGGAATATCAGGCAACGACCGCGATTCACTACCGGTCTACAACAATGCCCCTCCTCATCGACGGCCGCCGCCGCGCAGCAAGGTCCGCGTCAAACCTTCCGGCGAGAGCGGACGCAAAGGATTCCACCCCATAAAGTTTTTGAAAATCACATGGAAATCGTCAAGTCGAGCTTCTCTGGTTTGCAACTTTTTCTGGCCAGTTGTCCCGGCTGCTTTTGCTGTCAGATGTATGTTCAAGCTTGTGTATGTGGAGGCGGAGGTGTGAATGAAGCTAACACGATTTACAGATGCTCTCCCCAACGAGCACGTATTGATTTTTACATTGGTTTATATTTCGATGGTTCCTTGCGCTAATATGGTTGGCTTCGCTGGTCAAGAGTTGGCCCGCAAAGTCAATCACGTGTTTGGTGTGCTGATGGAAACAACGTGAGTTGAGAGAAAAGCCCCTTTGCCGGTATACGCTAGCTAACATGAAGCCAGCTTGGGGTCTGTGGTTGAGCTCATTCTCTTCATGGTACTACTGAAAGGCAGCCAATTTGTGGTTATCCAAGCTGCTATTCTAGGTTCCATCTTGGCAACCATGTTGTTGTGTTTGGGAATGTGTTTCATTGCTGGCGGCATGCGGCGTGAAGAGGCAGAGTTCAGCGACACCATTACGGAGGCTGGAAGTGGTCTCTTGTTGACTGCGTAATTGGCCATCACCCCTCAAAAGCGCAATAACTGCTAACAAGGCTTCAATAGTGGCATTGCTTTGGCTGTTCCCACAATCTTCGACCGCTCGCTACAAGGCGTCCTCACTGTTGAGGAAATCGACAAGAAAACGCTTCACATCTCCCGCATCGTTTCTCTAATTCTGATCGTTTCTTATATGGTCTACGTTTACTTCCAAGCTCGCACCCATCATGGAATTTACGACGCAATCTTTAAGAATGACGAACAACGAGATAACGACAAGCATAGAGATATCAGGAAGGCCAAGCTGACCCTGACAGAATGCATCATCGCACTTGTCGTCTCGATCACGCTAGTCACGTTCATGGCCATTTTTCTCGTGGAACAAATCGCACCTATTGTCGAAGAGCACAGCATTTCTGATCCTTTCATGGGTCTGATTCTTGTCCCCCTTGTTGAGAAGGCGGCTGAGCACTTGACGGCTGTCGATGAGGCCTGGGACAACCAGATGAACTTTGCCCTCTCCCATGTACTCGGTGCGACGCTCCAGACGGCTCTGCTCAATGCCCCCCTTGTCACCATTGTTGCCTGGGGCAGACACAAGCACTTCGATCTGGTCTTCGAGGCATTCGACATAACGATGCTCATCTTGGCCATCATTACCGTCGGGAACTTTCTGCGAGACGGCAAAAGCAACTATCTCGAAGGCGTTCTTCTTCTAGCCCTTTATTTAACGATTGCGTGTTCAGCTTTCTACTATCCCAATCCTCCGGGGCATGGGGCGGGAGCTGCAAGAGGAGCATCAGAGGGTCTGGTTCACTACGTAGCCGAAGGCTTTCGCCGTTGAGATAACGCGGCTGCAGGAGGAGCGCTCAAGGGTCTCATCCATTGCGTAGCAGAATGATCTACTCGTTGAGGCAGGCTGCTCACGGTTCTTTTTGAAGTACCCATACCTGAGATATCACGAGATGTTGTGGTGTTGTGGAGTTTTGACGTTTTGGGGTCTGAGCGCTCTTTGGCGACGCCACGAAGTAGCGATAACGGGACGGTTTAGAGAGACACATAGCGGATCCAGGCATCACATTGCACACTATCCGCATGAATATGCTCTGGTCTGCGTTTGGCAGTGCGGTCTCCTCTAGACTTGCAGGTGCCCGACTATCTCGACAGTCAAGCTTTTGCGGATGTCTAACTCCTTTCTTTCATGGCAAGCGTGTCAAAACATCGCACTACAGATATAAAGTTATTATGATCAATGAGAGAGAGCCTGACTTCTTTTGTGTCTATGCGACTATATCTACTACATACTCATACTTAGTTGCTCCTCCTAAGGACAATCATAGTGGAGATGAAGATAATAGAAAGGATAATAACGGTAGTAAGGACGACAGTAATCATATCAACGAAGACGACGAAGAAGACGACGAAGAAGACGACGAAGAAGACGACGAAGAAGGCGACGAAGAAGACGACGAAGAAGACGACGAAGAAGGCGACGAAGAAGACGACGACGACGACGGAGCAGGCGATAACAATGCCACCGACGATAGCAACGGCAGTAAGGTAGAACTACAGTAGTTGCTCTAGCACAGGAAAAACAGGCAACCTCTAACGAGATTGCGACTAGAGGAATTTTCTCTTAGATTCACGCTTTAGACCATAACTTATAAAGGTTGATTACTGATGAGGAGTAAGCGTCGTCGCTACGCTCAAATGCCCGACCACAAATGCAATGATTCCGTAAAACCTCCACACTCCGCGGAGATGTCCAAAACCATCTCCAAGAAACAAACAAACCCGCTGATAAGCCCCCAAACCCCCACGTGCCCAGGTCAAGGTTCGAACCGCTTATCAAGCTTATTCCGGAGATGTTCGATTTCGTCTCTTCTTCCAAATACCTCTACACGCATTGGCTATCCCCACCTGCGGAGCGATTGCATTCTGACGGTGGCGGCCTGCAACACCTGTGCGGCATGACGGCCCGTGGCGGAAGCGGCTCTGCTCCACGCCCATGACCTTGTTCCCTCTGCCGAAACCCGAGATCTTCAAGACCGTTCGCGACGCCGCGTTTAACAATCCAAGACCATCAGTCAATTCCGAGCTAAAAACGGCAACTCGTCTAGAAGATGAGGAAATCTTCGTCTCTCCAGCCCATTTTAGACAGGATGTCGCGCGCGCTCTTTTCTAGCGCTGGCGGGCCGCACATAAGTATCATCTCCTCGCCGTTGGTGTCATTGCGACACGGGCCCACCTCTCCCTCGAAGACAGTTTTGTCCAGGTAACCCGTCAGACCCTTCCATCCAGTAGGTGGTCTGGTGAGCGTGTGGACTAGCCGGCATTTGTCTGGGTTAGCGGTAGCTATGGTGTCGAGGTCCTCGCGGCAAAGAATATCGTGTTCGGCGCGGTTGCCGTCAAGGACGAGGCACCTTGTTGAATCTTCAGCGTCATTCATGACGGCACGAAGTACCTGAAAAATGGGCGTTATGCCGGAGCCCCCGCAGACCATGATGAAGCGCTTGATGCTCCGCGCCTTGCCCGAAATGCTGCAGATGCCCTTGCCGAGGTACTCGAATTTGCCGACAGGGCCTTTGAAGTCGACCCAGTGGCCGACGGGGAGCGCGTCGAGCGCCTGTGTCATCCTGCCACCGGGACGACCCGGAAGATCGTTATAGATTTTGATGAGCACATCCAGCTTTCCTTTTTGCGAACACTCTGAAAGGGGCGTGTAAGCGCGAATAATGGCCTCTCGGGTTACCGGGTCGCGCAGCCTCATCATCAAGTGCTGACCAGTTGGCAGACCGATGGCCTGGTCCGGATGCTCGAGCTTGAAGCTGAATATCTTGCTGTCGGGAGATATCCTTGTCTTTTCCGACAAAATACCCTTTGTCCACACCTTGGGTTGCAAGAAGATGGCCCGTGGACCATCGTCTTGCAGCTCCTCAACCTCGCCCAGAGCAAGTGCTTTCCTCCCAACCTCGTCCAGAGTACCAATGTGGTAGTCGGGCATCATTGCCTTTGCGTTTTCGCTGTCTGTAAGGATTACGTCTTAGCCTCCAATGGTCACCTTTTGGCGTGTGTGTGGGAAGGGCAAAACTTACGAATGGTCAAGAACTCTTCCGACACATCCTGACCCGCGGCACTCGTGATCGACGTTGCACCACCTGGGTGACCCTCTAGGAAAGGAGTTCCGTCGTAAACCTCGCCATTGACAACGAACCATGGCTCCGTCTCGCCTCCGTGCTGCCGGAGTTCTTCGATGGTGATGCTTCGCTTGACGCTTTCCTTGGTCATGCAGATCTCCTTGGGTGGTTCTTGCTCAATCACCTCCTCCGCTTCACCTTCGATCTTCTCGCCCCAGAAGCCGTTGGACAGATTGCCACCGGCCTTCTTTACTCGCTCCATCCACCCGCCACCTCCCAAGACTGGCTGCGTAGGGTGCTCGAAGCGCAAGCTGTGCCCCTCCTTGTGGATGATGACCCTGAACCAAGGATTGTTCATCATACCTAGGACGCTCCAATACATGTCCCTCGGCTGCGTCATCATGCTCTCGTCCATTGCTCGTACCATAACGTCTGCTGCGTCGGCGAGCTGGCTAATGGGGATGTCCAAATCCCAGAAGCACCAGCAGAAGCACGTTTCTCTCCAGTCCATATCCACTCTGCCGCCGTACAGAGTCTCGCCCTCCGGGGCCAGTCGATACAAGTCTTCAGGATAGTTGAGGTTGGCAAGCATCCACGTCTTGCCGCGATCAAGGGTAATCTCGACTCTTGTGATGCGCCTGCCGCCACCTCCATAGGCGTAGCCACGAACTTTGTATGATTCGGGACCACTAGTCAGTGACAAGACCTCGTCGTGTGCAGGGAAGGCGGTAGCGCTGTTGGTGTTGAGATCGTAAATGGCGTACCGCTCGTCCTTCCATGTGTCGGGCAGGTCTGCACTGGCCTCGGGAGAGATCATGGTTGGCAGCACGCGGTTGTCGTAGATGTGATACCAGTTGCTGCTGGGCTCTTTCGTGACTATGATTTTCTTCAGCCACTTGACGCTTCTGCCGCCAATCTGTCCAGGAATGATGATGCGGACGGGCTTCCCATGGTCGGGAGGGAGCAGTTCGCCATTCATGCGGTAGCAGACAGTCACCCCACGGTTGGGGTCCATACACCAGTTCAGTTTGATGCTCGTTCCATAATACCCGTTTGGTAGCTTGTCCGCGCCCTCGAAGCAAACATACCGTGCGCCTCTCCTGGGTTTTGCTCGAGCAAGGAGGTCGCCGATGCCGACACCCGTCCAGATGGCGGTCGACAAGCCGGCTGGGCCCCAGGAGAAACCCTTGGTCTTGCGAACCACGTTCTGCTCTTTGCGGCGGTTCCCTGCGCACACGAGGGTTACCGGGTACGTGATTTGGTCGTAGTCCGCGATGAGGTCCCTGACAGACATTTTGATTGGGTTCTCGACTTCGCCCTCAACAGTGAACTCCCAGTCAAACATGTCCTCGTCCTCGCATTTGGGCACAGCTCCGTGGTTTCGAACATAATGCAGGTCCTTGGTCGTGATAAATCCTTCGTTGTATAAGGCGCTCAAGGGTGCCTCAACATTGAAAGGGTGAACTCCGGTGAGACGTATCAGTCGAGGATCTCGAACGACGTGGCTGTCTGGTGTCTTGAGGTCTTCGGTCAAGACGTTGTTTGCTCTTGATTTTGGAGGCAAAGGATACCCGCGGGGTTCTTCGGGGGCGAGTTCATCAAGTAGGCCTGTCTCTGATCCGTCGACGCTATGAGATTGGCCTTCCCTCACCGTGGTTGCCGGACTCGGTGGGAATGTTATGTCATGTTTTGACAAAGATTCCCGCAACGAAACAGGATGTGAGGCCGCGAGCACATTCATACTGACGACTGGCTTGTCGTGTGTAAGATGGAATCTGAGGTGGACTGTCTTTTCTAACGTAAGATGAGTGTTGTAAGCTGAAATGTCTGAGCGGTAATCACAAGCCAGGTAACTGTGGCTTTGTACACAAGAATCAGATCAAAGATGAGATGGTTTTCGATGAAGTAGGAATTAAAGCGAAGATTGCATATCGGGGGACAGGAGTGGGAAACCAGACTGGTGAGAGTCGGGATTCTGGTGAGTAAATACCCTCAAGGGTGGGTTGGTGGAAGAGATTTGGATCTCCTGGCGCGGGAGCTGTGTGGTTGTGGTGTGGGCGGGCCGCCTGCACAACGGGAGGCAAGGAGGGCAGACATACGGCGTAGACTGGGCTGGTCCGTCATGGCATGGCGAAGCATGGGATCGAATGGGATGGTGCAACGGCACATCACCAGACGGGATGGCACTAAGTAGAACCAGTCAGCCCGCGCAGTCGACGGAGAGTTGGATCGAAGGACGATAGCACGCCGTTCAGCAAGGTCCCTAGGCTTGACAATGAAAGCTCTGGATCCATAACATACCCTACCTGATTCAGGTTATTTCCAGCCCCGTAACCTTGAACATAGTCCCGGAGAAAGGGCCACTACTGCGCAACACACAATCGCACCCACCAAGTGTCCCGATGAGACTGACGAACACACGGCAGCGAGCGAGGAGATGCAAGATTTGACCCGTTTTCGAGGCGGAGGGGCCTGAGCATGCTTCAACTTCCGCGGAGGTCGACAAGAACAAACGGGACTCCTTATCAGCGCGCGCCATAGCCCTTGCCTAGGTATTGTTTGGATGATGAATTGGCGCCTGCAATTCGACTGATGCCATTGGGGCGATAAGGGCACAAAGCACGACACGGCGTTAGAAGTACGGATGTACCTGGGGTATGTAGACATATAATTATCTCACCAGCGCGGAGATGCTTCAACCAACTCT